ATTTCAAAAGACAGCTAGAGAAGACAAAGCAAAGTATTGTAACAGCATGTAAAGAGAGCTGCCATTTGAGAATAAAAAGGGAAGAAATTGCTTAGCATTTCTCAAGGTGAAAGAATGGAAAAACAAATTCAAATTTCAAATTGTATTAATGAGAGTGCTGTGGATAAAATCTAAAATACTTGAGTACTACAAGAAGATAAATAACCCAATTGAAAAATTGGCACAGGATATGAATAGACACTTCACCAAAGTCGATATTGAGGTGGCAAACAAACAAACGAATGAAGCCATGTTCAAAATCTCTAGCTCTAAGAGAGATGCAAATCAAAACAACTATGAATTATCATCTCTCCCCAGCAAGAATAGCAAAATTTAACAAAACAGCAAACATAAAATGCTGATGAGGTTGTGGAGAAACTGGAACCCTTATTCACTGTTGGCGGGAGTGTAAAATGATGCAACCGTATGGAAGGCTATGTAGTGTTTTCTCAAAAAGTTGCAAATAAAAATACCCTTTGACCCAGCAATTCCCCTACATGGAATTTACCCTAACGAAACCATACCTGCCACCCAAGCAGATATATGCATACCCATGTTTATTTCAGCTTTGTTGCCAATAGTAAAGAGCTGGAAAGATCCCGAGTGTCCATCAATAAACAAATGAATAAAGAAGCTCTGGTATATTCACACAATGGAATACAATGCAGCATTGAAAAACAAGGAACTCATGAAATAGGATGAAAAATGGATGATCCTGGAGGACATTCTGCTGAGTGTAATATATCAGTCACAAAAGGACAGATATTGCATAGGGTCACTGTTGTAAAATGGGACTGGCATCAGGGTTGAGGGAAGAAATATTGCACTGAAACAGATGAGGGAGAAAACTGTTTAAAGGAGATATATGAATGGGTATTCTTGTCGTTACAGAATTCCAGAGTGAAGACTGCATAGTGGAGTGGAATTGAGGGGAGGAATTGAATACAATGAAAGAGTTTTTCTTTTTCTTTTCAAGGAGAGGAGTTAATTGGGGGGGATGGGGTGAGCAGGGAGAAAAGTGCAACAATTATGACTGGAAACCCTAAGTCTGCAAACTTACATTAAAATTAATTAAAAAAAGTAAAAGTAAAAAAAAAGGCTTGATTAGACATTTTAATTAACCAGTTACATTCATCAGTGGCAATTAATAAATATTATGCTGTTGTTGTTGTTGTTGTTAAGTGCCATCGAGTCACAGGAGACTCATAGTGACCCTATGAAGGAGAGTCTTCGACGCTTGGGTGCCTTTCATCCTCTCTCCAGGTTCATAGGTTTTCCGGAGGCAAGCTATTATGGAAGTGGATGCCACTCCTCCTTTCAAAAGAAATATTATGAAAAACAAAAACAAAAAACCACTACCAGTCCAAAACCGACTTTTATTTGAACGCAGGCACATTTTGTGTCCTAGATTCTTAAGTAGAAGGCTCCTAGCTCCAAAGTGACTATTATTCAAAAAAGCCCAACGCCAGAGTTCCAAATGCTTTAAATAAGAAGCTTCTAGCCCAAATAGAATGTTACTTAAAAGGGTTCAGTGTCCAGGTTCTTGGTGTTTTAAATAAACAGTTTATGCTGTCAAATGACTATTACTTGTGGGCCTACTTTTCAGGATCTAACTGCTTTAAATACAACTGTCCCAACCCACTGTTACTTAAAAAAAAAAAACAAAAACCACCCACCCAACAAACAAACAACACATTTCAGGTATTAACTGCTTTAAATAAGAGTCTTTGAGCCCCAAACAGACTGTTACTCAAAAGGTCTAGCTTCCGGGAACGCTGCTGCCAGCCGGGGGATCGCACCCCGCCGCCAGACCGGGGAACGCCGCGAGAGGGACCCGGAAGAGACCCGGGAAGAGCAGCAGCCAGCCACCTGCCGCGGAACTCCAGAGGAGCGAAGACTGCCGGACACTGTGGGACCCCCA